TTCCTGTAGGTATGCTATCATTGATGAGGACGGTCTGCCTTTCTCTGGAGAGCAAGTCGTTGATGGTGGTATTCTCATCAACAAGGTGTCGCCTATGAGCGATGCTGCTACAGGGCAGGTCTCTCACTGGAGGGACACTCCGATATCGTGGGTTCAAATCACCCCTGGGGCATTATAACTCTGTCTACATAGATACAAGAATCCTGTGCCTTCATATGTGGATAGAGTCATTGCTACGGAGAACGAAGATCAAGCTAAAATATTCAAGTGCATCACCAGACAGACCCGACGACCCGAGCTGGGTGATAAGTTCTCAAGGTAGGCGGAGCGAAGCTGATGAAAGCTTTTCAACGCCTATTTTATCAGTCGACACGGCCAGAAGGGTGTGGTTGGTCTCATTGTGAACCAGGAGGACATGCCTTTCGGCGAGAAGGGATGGTGTCCAGATCTGATCATGAACCCTCATGGTTTCCCCAGTCGAATGACTGTGGGAAAACTATTGGTAATTATATTCAGCAGTTTTTCACCAGTCACGGCATTTCTCAGGAGTGTGTGTCTGGCAAAGCTGGCGTTCTCGATGGTGAACGTTCGTATGGTACGGCCTTTGGCGGGACAACTAAGGAGCACATGACACAATCCTTGATCCGGCATGGCTTCCATCCTAGCGCTAAGGAGTATATCACATCTGGCGTCACAGGGGAGGCTCTGGAGTGCTACATTTTCGTGGGTCCGATTTACTATCAAAAACTGAAGCATATGGTCAGTTTTCCATGCAGCTCTGTGCTGGATTCCGTACTGGCTATTTGCAGGTTATGGACAAGATCCATGCTCGTTCCACCGGCCCCGTGAATCAGCTCACTCGACAGCCTACTGAAGGAAGGGCGAAGGATGGTGGCCTTCGTCTGGGAGAGATGGAAAGGGATTGCTTAGTAAGATCCCTACTTGAGATGTCCAGTCATGGTTTCCTATAGGTGGCATATGGCGCCTCCAATCTGTTGCTGGAGCGTCTTATGCTCTCCAGTGATGTCTTCACAGCTTCCGTGTGTCGACGCTGCGGCCTTTTATCGTACCAAAACGGAACGTGCAAGTAAGCTGAATTGTGGTGATACGTTTGGT